ATTCTTATCTTTAACCTTCCATTCGTTAGTACGTCTTGTCCTTGATGATAATTTATATCAAAATATTTTATTTTCATACTTTGATATGAAGGCAAATATTTTTTCATATTTTTTTGTTATTTATTTTTTAAAAAAATATATGATGAAAAATAAATTGTTTATGTTATTTTAATGAATTTTTGGACATAAAACTGTTATAAATACAAAATATGTTAATTAGTGAAAAGTTTGAGGATATAAGTGTTATAACGAACAAAGTTAAAATTTTAGTGCAATTAAAAATGTGGTGCAAAAAATAAAAATTGTGGCGTGAATATAATATATATTTACTTTTTACCAAAAGGTTGAAAGAAAAAAGTGTTTAAAAATCAGAATTTACGTAAAGTGACTTTTACTTATCTTCAATGTTAGCCACACAAGACCATAGATTTTTTGGATATCGTGACATTGTTTTCCATAGCAATTGTTTTATAAGAATTAAAATTAGATTTTTAGTGGATTGTGATAGAAAATTTTGAAATGTGTGGTTGAAAAGATGTGGAACCCATAAAAATGTGTTTAATATTGATTGTTTGACTTTGACTTAGATTAAAATCAGATTTTAATCCGGCCGAAACAGAAACCAAGAAAAAAACTCTACACGTACGTGTAGCACGACAACCTGATAAAATGTTAAGCTACTGTTCTTGTTTGCAAAACGTGGTGAATTAGCTGACAAAATAATTTTAGGAACATTTTTTATAATAATATTGCCAAGTAGAAAATAAAATAAAATGTTTTTTTCGCGAAAATCCACGTTGACTAAAAATAACGTAACATCTTTAGAAATTAGGTCAACGTAGGAAAATCTTCACATAATAACTAAGGGTGTGTCTGGGAGAAATTCTCACCATCCAAAATCAATTTTTCAGTCAAATCAAGTGGTCCCACTTGCTGAAACCATTTCACGAGTTCTAGATAATTTGAACGAAAAATTGCCCTTTTATCCTTCATGTGCAATTTGTCTACCATATCTAGAACACGTGAGAGGGGTAAAATGGGGAAATGGGGTGTAAATGGTCATCTTATCTATGACAAGCAGTCAGACATTTTGTATTAAAAATTCCATCAACGGTCCAATTTTTAATTGGAAACGGTTGAAATTACTCTACCTATCGCGCCCAGACACATCCTAAGTGTGTGTTTGGCCCCATTCTATACCAATTTTTTCAAGCTATTTTTCAACAAGTGTGGGTCCCAAGTTAGACAAAAATGACTGTTCCTCTGACACGCCAAATAGTCTTTAAGATGTAATTTGAAATTTTCAACTTTCTATTTCTGCGGCTCAGAAAAATGTTATTCATCCTCAGTGGAAATGCATCTCCAATCCATATGAATATAAATGATTGATTAAATGATAAGTGAAATTAAATGACTTATTTAACTTCACCTATCATTTAATGCCATATTAACATCATATAAATTGGGGATGCATCCCCAGTGGAGAAGAATAGCATTTCTCAATTTATGGTTGGTGAGAACTGAATGATAAGGTTAAAATAGTGGAAGGCAATGTTGTATATTTTCAATTGCATCTGAGGGCAAAATAGTCCATAAAGGCTCTACAGCATCATCCACTTTATATCCATCCTGACAAAAATCTGATTTCTTGTACCATAGAAATGAGATGTCGTAAAAGAAACTCATTTGAATGAGTATCAAACGGTGGCTAAGTAATTTCGCTGGAATTTGAGGTAATAGAATTTGATAGATTTTTTGACAGCTAGGCTCATTTCATTGAAATTTTACCCCTAGTGTAGAGGATAACAGATTGAAGTTTATCCTACTAGTCAATCATCAAGCTACAGCGTTTGACATAAACTTGTGTATCCTTTTTGAAGAGATTTGGTTTTAGAATTAGAACCGAACCAAAACCAAGACCAAATAATTCTCAGTTCTAAGAATCAAAACTATTAATATTTTTTTTTGTAGAATCGAACCGAATCGAACCGCTCGATTTGATTTGATCATTTTGTCCACTCCTAATTGACGTAAATGAGTTGATAGCAATTTATCAATAATTAAGATTATCATATTTATGTCACAACCTCTTTTAGAGTTCTTGGTGGTAGATATATGAAATTGCACCACCATAAAATATTAAAAGTATGAGTATGTTATCTATGGATTTTTTTTTTTATTACATTTGTATTCATTCACTATTTAATATTTACCATCAGAAAAAAATTAATGAAAAATCATTTGCAAAAGCTACGACTATTTTGTATCAACTGGGTTAAAGGTAATCAAAATGATAATTTGTTTTTGTCATTATGTTGTGTACACAAATCTCGTACGAATGGAAAATTAATGAAAAGAAACAAATTGTCTGTTGTCTGCTACATATTAATTATTTACCATCTTTTCTAAAGAACATAATACAATCAAAGTCATTTCTAGAGTGATGAAATAGTCAGCACGTTATTGTACATTTTATATCGAGTCGAATTGTTAATTTTGTAACTAGGGTTATTTTTATTGGNTATGTTGTGTACAAAAATCTCGTACGAATGGAAAATTAATGAAAAGAAACAAATTGTTTTTTGTCTGCTACATATTAATTATTTACCATCTTTTCTAAAGAACATAATACAATCAAAGTCATTTCTAGAGTGATGAAATAGTCAGCACGTTATTGTACATTTTATATCGAGTCGAATTGTTAATTTTGTAACTAGGGTTATTTTTATTGGCATATTTATAAATTGATCTGATTCTCTTGTCGGCTCCTAGCAACAAAAACCCAATAAAAAAGACACCACTCGTACATAGGAAAGACACCACTTGTACAATATGTTTCTAACTCAAGATATTTTGTTTATTTATGCCTCCTAATATTGTTATTTTTCATATCTCATTTGAGAAATATTATATCGATCTTCTGAAAGTGTTTGATATCGTTGATTGGTTTATGGATAGATGAAACTTTTGTTGAAACCGTTGCTCCAAATCATTTTTACTGGAAGATGGATGCTTATTTTTGTATACACGTAGCGTACTCTTCGTTTCTTTACCCTTCTGAAATGATACGATAGGGAAAAACAATATATAATTTGTAATGATTAGAGTCTAAAATTGAATAACTTTAAGGGTCTTACTAGGGGTACATCATCCTTACCGGCCTCCCTCCAATGAGGAGGAGCCACTTGGCCATTATGTCACCCCCTATGTAAGGAGTAACGTATAAGAAGCATAATTCTAACTTTAATATAAGAATTCAATTTGTGATTATAAACAAGCTTAACCATCTTCTAATATAGCATTCATAATTTTTTAACTAGTAGTTCGAAGAAATAAAACTTCTAAAAGAAAATCAATAAAGGACTCCTCATAGAAGTGAAATCTTACCAACTAAATAAAAATGAATATTATTGATAAATTAATAAATTATTTATTTAGCTCTTGTTTTGATGAATAATTTTCGAGAAGTAATTTTTTGAAAAGTACGTTTTATATAGATGTGTGGTTAAAACGTAAAGAAAATTTATGGAAATCGTCTTTTACAAATTTGACACTAAAGATGGACGAAAACGGAAGCTCGAGAGTTCAACGCCAGAGAATAAAGCTTGGGACCAATATGCGACTCACTGTATAGATTGGAGACTGGTCATGTAATTTATTCTTGACAAATACTTTATAAAAATAAAAGTTGGGTTAATTTTATTGAAGGTCATTAAAATTTCAGGAGAATCTCAATTAAGTTACTTAACTTTAATTTACCACAATTTTTTTTCGAAATTAGTCATTTTTTCAGTCCCAATATTAAATTTAGCTACGAAATTCTCCAATATACTTCATTTATAGTTAAATATGCTACTTAATCATGTCATGTGACATATATATTTGGTCAAATTTTTATATTAGTTTTTAATGTTCACTAAGGATGTTGGCTATTGAAATTTAAATTTTCTGAATGTACAAAGATATTGTTACCAAAAATTCTACAGACACTCACATGGGGGTGGGCCCCATGTGAGTTAAATATTGTTGTGGAAATTACATAAAAACAGGTGTTTAAAGATCTATTTTTATAAATCAGGTTTGTAATTATGACAAATACTTTATAAAAATAAAATTTGACTTAAGATCATATGTGAATTTTTAGATTGGACACGACTAATGTATAGGAAATCTGACAATTGATTGAAAAAAAAAATGTTGTTAAAATTAATGTACACAAATCGTCAACTCACATGATTTCAAACTTGATATAAAGCATTATGTATGTGTAGCACGATAGTATTTCCTTGTCAAGAAATGAATCTACTACTGATGAGATGGGTCATCTTCAAACAACCACATAACGTTGTGAGTTACGGACAAAATAATGTGGGGTGTACAAAAAAATAAAAATCAACGTGTCTCACAAGTGATGTACACGATGCACGAAAATGGAAATATATTACAAACTAACAATGTAGAAACCTAATATTTTATAAAGTGCGTTCCAAAATTTTAGAAACTTAGGCCCTGTTTGAGAGAGATTCTCAAAATTTTACAGTAAATCAATTCTCATTTTCAACCACACATTCTTCAATAAAATAATATTTTTCATCATATCAATATTTTTTTTCTTTTTTTTCAACCACATATTTCCCATCATATCACTATTCAAAATCAATTCTTCCCCCAAAAATCCTTCCCAAATAAGCTACTAATATTTTCCTGCAACAAAAAACTGGGTTTAACTATCGGAAACACGTTGTAACTAATATCCATCACGAGATAATAATAATAATAATAATAATAATAATAATAATAATAATAATAATAATAATAAATGCGGGTTGTGAAACACATGTTGATTGATATATAGACTCGATCAAGGACAAAAACCTATAATTTAGCAATGTTACATTATTAATTAATATTTTTTCTTGAATTCATCTTTTTTTCTCCATTATAAATAGGCTTTAGTCCCATTAGTAACCATAACATTAAATCAATTCTCTCCTACAAGCATGGATATGCTTTCCATTTCCTTAATCTTTTCATTCTCTCTAGCTATTGTCGTCTCTTATTATACTATAGTTAATGGCAGAAGATGTTACAAAACAAGAGCTCCAGAACCACCCGGAGCATTGCCCTTCATAGGTCATCTCCACCATCTACGGGGCAAAACACCAGTGGCGCGAATATTGGGAGCAATGGCTGATAAATACGGCCCCATTTTCTCACTCCGGCTGGGCAGCCACTCCGCGGTGGTGGTGAGCGGTTGGGAGATGATAAAGGACTGCTTCTCCACCAATGATCAAACTTTCGCAACCCGGCCGAGCATGTCGCTGACCAAGTACATGGGGTACGACGGTGCAGTTTTTGCACTAGCACCTTATGGAACTTATTGGCGTTATCTTAGGAAAATGGTCACTGTAGAACTTCTAAGTAGCCAACGACTTGAGAAGTTTAGTCATATCCGAGTGTCTGAACTAAATCACTCTATAAAAGATTTGTATATACGATGTGAAAAGAACGGTGAGTTTTCCAAGATAACTCTAAGCAAATGGTTTGAAGACTTGACATTTAACATAACCATAAGAATGCTAGTTGGAAAGCGATTTTCTAATAGCAAGATTGGTGGTGAAGAATGGCTATTCAAAGAAGCTATAAAGAAAGAATTATACCTTAGTGGCGTTTTTGTTGTGTCTGATGCAATTCCGTCGCTTGAATGGGTGGATATTGGAGGGTATTTGAAAGCGATGAAAACGGTAGCCAAATACATCGACAAAGTGCTCGAGAATTGGTTGAAAGAACATGTGCAAAATAGGAAGGAACGCAACAACGAAGGCGAATTTGATTTCATGGATGTAATGCTATCCACTTTCCACGAGGCTGATATGGAATCGGGTTGCAACCGTGACACTGTCATCAAGGCAACGATACTAGTAAGCACTTCCTTTTTTTATTAGACAGTCGTTCAGTATTTATTACCGAGTTGCCTCACTATTCTTACGTTAATAAATGTGTTGAACTTTGTTCAGATTCTTATTTTGACTGGCACAGAAAGCACATCCGAGACACTAATATGGGCACTCTCTTTGTTACTAAACAACCCACAAGCTATAGAAATTGCCCAGAAGGAATTGGATATCCATGTAGGAAGACACAGATTAGTTGAAGAAACAGATATCAAGAAGTTAAATTATTTACAGGCTATTGTGAAGGAAACCCTACGTTTGTACCCACCAGGTCCACTTTCTGGGCCTCGTGAGGCCATGGAAGACTGTTATGTTGGCAACTATTATGTCCCAAAGGGTACTCGACTGATTGTTAACTTGTGGAAGCTACATAGGGATCCAAAGGTGTGGTCTAATCCCAATGAGTTTCGACCTGAAAGATTTCTTGAGGAACATAGCAAAGTGAGTTTTTGGGGACAGAATTTTGAGTACATTCCATTTAGTTCAGGGCGAAGAATGTGCCCAGCTGTGAACTTCGGCACGCAAGTAGTTCATTTTGCGCTTGCTCGTTTGCTTCAAGGATTTTGTGTATCGGCACCAATGAATATGCCTGTAGACATGTGTGAAGGTCCAGGCATAGCTTTGCCCAAGGTGAAACCTCTCGATGTTCTTCTCAGCCCTCGACTTCCTGCAGGGCTCTATGAAAGTATTTAGATCGTGTATTTACTTTCCGAGTTTTTAGTATGATACATTGTAACTACGTATCTTTAATGTATCTTTAATGTATTGACAGTACTATTGTCAATAAAATCACAATACATAATAATTTGTGTAGTGTCGTGCTTTAAAAGTCAAAACATATCAAAATCCACAACAGTTCCTGAAATGCAAATAACTTCTATGCATTATTCTCTAGTTCACGCTGAAAGGACAATATACTGTACATCTCTCTATTTGCGAGGAGCGAATCCTCGAGTCGAAAGAAGAAAACCAATATATACAAACGCACTTAATGAGCTAGCCAGCCTTGAACTTCGATTCTGGCCTATTCATTTTTCCTCAAGCTTATATACAGCATTCACGCATTCTTCTGCGTCCCATAAGAATGAACCAAAAGCAACGGCATCCAGCACAAATCTCTTGAGACTTGCATAAGACGTGGAAATTAACTCATCGGTTTCGAGCAAACCTGTATTATCATCTCCAAAGAGAGCAAAACTATGTCTCTCAATCAGATTCACAGCCTCCTTAGACATTGGTTTCGCGCACATCTGCAGGGTTTTGGGGTCGAATCCCATCACATAACACATCAATTTCTCGTGTTGCTTGCCTAGACTACATGGCACTTGACCAATAGATGTAGACCTTGGGCTGCTAATGCGACCAAATGCACCGTACTTCAGTCCTAAAGACGAGCTCCAAGAGTGGAAACTGGAAATAAGCATCAGTACCAAAATCTGGGTTTGTCAGATCTAGACCCCGTTCCAGATTGTACCTCAATGAGGCGGACTTTAAGAAGTATCCATAAAAGATGGAAGCAGCATACAGTCTGCAGAGAAGAAGCCTCGGGATCTCAGTTGTGGCCCAACTGTCAGTGACATTGGAGTTTGCTTTCTTGCCAACAACAGCAGCAATATGTTCCTTAACCATCTCCAAAACATCAAAGTTGTGAGTTGACTTCAGTTCCCATTCCTTTGAAGGATAGATTTCGAGTCTGCCATTGTAGATACATTTGGAAAGTCTAGGGACCAAGTGAACTCCAATCTCCGTAAACTTGTAAAATATTAACATATAAATCACATCTTCTACTGCAGTCCGGCATTCACGCCTTTTCAGTTCAGCAATCCTCCTGCCATTCATTCATTCGCGAAGTCAGAAAAATACAAGAAAGTCGAAGATTTTATATTATTAACTGGCATTACCACAGTATTTCAGGTATTGCATTTGTTTGGCCTACATTTCAATTATTTCATCAAAGCAATCATCTAGGAAAAGCCTAAGTTTCTACTTCCTCAAACTTGCCTCCTCGAAAATGCTGTAATGATAAAATCATCAACAACGTCCCCGTAGTGGTTATATATTCTCAATCAAAAGAGTATGTCCCACCTTGGAGCAACAAATGACAACTGTTCCCCGAATCTCATGTACCGGAACAAAGATGAAATCAAGCATGGAAAAATTTCTTCATGAAGGCCACAAAATGTCTGGTGGCAGTACTAGTACACCATCCTCCATGCCGTTACATCCTCAAGGAAATAGATGCACGAGTACACCTTCACCGGTCCATGCCATTATCAACGAGTTCTGCGCTTTTTCCAAAAATGTACCATGGAATCTGTAAAAATATACAAGCTAATCACTAAAATCTTCACAATGGCGCAAAATGATGTCAAGCAAAGATTCAGATACAAGCAAGTAATGACAGGGTTAACTGATTATTTAATATAATATCACCATAATCCATACAAAGCTTAACTACAATCGGCGATATGTTATGCTAAAATAAAACCTTCCTGGAAATAAAGATTTGGTGCAACGACAAGGTAATGCAGTCAAAAAAAAAAAGAAGTGTCCAGTGTCCAGTGTCTCCTGATTTTGACATTCATGTATACTTGAATCCATTAACGAATAAAAGAATATAATTAACAAGAAAGTAGGCAAGATGTTAATGTTCTTTGCTAATTGACATCACATTTACAACGACAATGAACAGTATACAATGGAGTCTTCACTTGGCATTAATATAAATACGATGTCAGCATTAACCATAATTTTGTAATGACATTCTTTTGGCACAACTCTAACAGCAACAGAACAATTCAGAAAATTTGAACAAGGCCCCTCAAAATTGAAATCGAAGTTAAAAAAAGGGGATGCACTAGGTGGATTCAAGCAAAGAAACTGAGAACCGGCTCAATATCGGTTCAGATATATACCAAAACTATCGAGATAAAACCAGTATATAACTTGGCCAATCGGGAACTGGTTAACCTTGCAATAGAAAAAACAATGTTAAAACTCAGGTCCTAACATTTATCAAATATCATGCTATGTTAACTAAACATCAATGTTTAGTTATTTGTTTTAATTATTGATGAAAAGCCACAAAATTTTCAGTGGATGTACATATTTATTTAAGTAATTATTTTTTACCTTAAATTAATTTCCTGTTCAACTCAATTTAACCAAGGAATCCCAATTTTCCATATCAACGGGAGAGCCCAGTTCAAAAACACCCTGAACTAAAACTTAATGCAAATAATTACCATATGCAAAGACGAAAAGACAAAAGAAACTAATTGAACACCAACCTATGGAGGGAAGCTACATCAGTGCCCAAGCTGAACTCGGCACGAGCCACGGCGACTTCATCCCTGTCAGCCACCAGCTGTTCCAACTGATTCCTAACAGCAACGTGAAAGTACTCCCGATCATTCAGCAATACGCCACTCAAGAACCTCCTAGCCGCTGTCTTCGGCTCGAGCGGCGTGTTCAAACTGCCAAACTCAACACTTACTGCTACTACTATTGTATCTACAAGCAACCGCCCTCCGATCAGTTCCCAAATTGATTGAACGACTGTGAATTTTGGTGATATTTTATTGTAGTATATCATAAAATATGATTAAATTGATAGGTAAATATGATTATTTTTTTTCGGTAGCGGGACATTACTCTGCTCCCGTTTGGCTCAACTAAAAAATTTTAATTAAAATTTAAGTTAAAATCAACAATTAATCTTAATCACTCAAAAAATACATACTTTTAAATCATACATTCCATTAACTTTTATCGATACTTTCTAAAATTCTTAACTACACAGAGTACATGCATATTAAGAGCTTAATTGGGCTATATTTTTTTCAGAATTATTTTTGTCAAATTTATTTTTAACCCCATATTCTTAAATAAAAAAAATAAAATCATGTAACTCAAATAACATTTTAATACTTTTTAACAACACATTCTTTAAGAAATTTATTTTTTCCATGAGAAGTCTATTTCAAACAACTACTTCTGATAAAGATTTTTTGAGAATCGATTCTTTGATAAAAAAAATAAATGGTTTTGAATGTGCAGTTAAAAAGTATAAGAAACTTGAAAAATGTGAAAATTCCACTAAAATTTTGACAATTTAAATTATAATAATGTGTTAAAATTTGATTAGCGAAATAGTCAAAGGACGTGAAGATGGAGACAACATATATGAACTCGACACGGATCTACTATAAACATGATTGAAAGTTGAAACATATACACCTCCAACCTGTTCTAAAATTCAAGGAAAGTAATAAACCAAAACAATTGCATAGTCCCTATTTGGAGTAGATTAAAATTGAATTTTTAGGAAAGTTCGATAAAAATTAATGAAACGTGTAATTGAAAAAAAAAATTACATCTCATGAAGTGTGCGATCAAAATTAATTATTGATTTTAATTAGAAACTTGTAATAAAATTAAATTTACACCAAAATGAGGCATAGTCTCTTTAAGAAATTCCCGATCAGAAGACACTGATTGATCTAGCCCCCATTTTGTCTACCATTATTCAATAAAAATGAGTTTTGGAATAGTGAATTTTTTGAAAATATGTGTTTGAAAAGTAGGAAAAATTTTGGGTTTACAAAGAAAATATTTTACTGTAAGAATATATAATTAAAAATAAATTTGAGAAAAAATAGTTTTAAAATAATTGTTGAAAGAAAAATGAAATACAAACCCCATGGCTCATAGTTAAGGGACCGTTTGGAATGTGTGTATAGAAGTGTTTGTTGAGAAAATTATCCTCCAAAAACTCCTTGACCAGATCGATCACTTGCATAGAAATTTATCTAGATTTTTCTGGCTTTTCAAAAGGCTGCCAAACAGGGCCCCGAGGTAGTAACGAAGCTGCAGGTACAGATTTTAAACGGCAGCACCCTGTTGGTCAGTTTTTTCTTTCTTCCAATCAAAATTGTATTTCCTGTTTGAATTTCTCTCCATTTTTCCCCTACGTTTAGCTAACAGAGAAGTGTAAGAATTGAGATCAAACCGTCCAATACAAGAGTGAGTGATACAGACTTCACTTATACTTACGTCATATTCCTTATTGGAGTCTACTTCTCACGCTAATCGTCTCTCCCTAATTCTCTCTCTTGCACAGAGGAGCAAATCAGTTGTTGCAGCAAAGGAGGAAACCAGTAATCAAATTTTACTTTTTGGGGATGCTGATTCTTGTCCTGCTATAAAATCAAGGTATAAAATAATAATAGTAGTAGTAATAATCGTATTTCATGTTTACAGAATTTATTTTCCAGCCTAGGGCTTGATGTTTGTTTACAATCGTGTATGGATATAGTTTGTACTTGATATTATACGTAGGAGGCTTGACTTCTATTTTGATTTTCTTGATTCAGTCTGAGAAAATAATCGCCTTCAATTTTATGTAATTCCCTTTATCGTAACGCAAACTTTAATAAAGCACAGCCTTTCTTCCCCGTTTTCTTATTGTGGTGCTTTATTTCGTTTCACAGTTGACAATAACACATCTCGTAAATCCTTCTTTTTCCTCTTATTGGAGATATAATTTTGTGTATTGTGTGTTATAAGATAAATTAAATGTCAAATTAGGTGTGTTAATTAATATGTTTGTTCATTTTCCCTATGCAGAGATATATTTTTGTGTCATTCCTGAAGGCAAATGCAGAAAATTGATTTAAGAAATATTCTGGCTATTTGGTAGAGGCATGATGGTGAGATTGATCAAAATTATATGGTTTCTGTTTTTGATACTGCTCCTGTTAGAGAATGGAAGAGGGATAACCTCAGCTTCAAATTACCTAATTGGGCTCGGAAGCTATGACATTACTGGGCCCGCTGCCGATGTCAACATGATGGGATATGCTAACATGGAACAGACAGCATCTGGGGTTCACTTCAGACTGCGAGCTCGTACTTTCATTGTGGCAGAACCAGTGGGAAACCGAGTTGTATTCGTTAATCTTGATGCTTGTATGGCCTCCCAACTTGTGACAATAAAAGTCCTTGAGAGGTTGAAGGCAAGGTAGTTATAGTCTCCTTGTAAAGTTCTCTTACTAAAGTGAATTTGTCAAAAACCATCAAGCCCAGAAGATAATAAAGCACTGTTTGCTGATACTTGTACAGAACGATATAATAAGCCCCTGTTTGACAAAGCTTTTTTGAAATCATAAGCTGGTCAAACTTCATCTTTTAACCACACATTTCTTTGGATTCACAACCTTTATCCATTTTTTAACCATACATTTCATGGGAGCCTCCAATTTATAATCTCAAAAGCTTTGTCAACTGGGCTAAATTACAACCTCGCTAATTGGTACTTCCATACAATAGTAATGTTCTTAAATTTTGGAAAATCGGATTAAAACACTGCCATTATTGCTATTCCAGGTACGGAGATCTATATACAGAAAACAATGTTGCTATCAGCGGAATTCACACACATGCTGGCCCTGGCGGTTATCTTCAATATATTGTATATATTGTAACATCTCTTGGTTTTGTTCGCCAATCATTTGATGCCCTGGTTGATGGCATTGAGCAGAGTATCATACAAGCTCATGGTAGCCTTCAACCTGGATCAATATATATTAATAAAGGTAACTGATTAGTTTTGGAACACCTATTTTGTTAATACTAAAATCAATATGTAGTAGCTTCATTATTTATCTCACATTAAGGTGATTCTGAAGTATATTTGTATGACTGGAATGGAGCTACTGCTTCATAGTTACTACAGAAAGTACATTAGCATTTTACTTGTTTGATCTTTCATTCAACCATACGGCAAGTACTTTAGGGGAATAACTTGATTAGAGGAAAAATGCCTCCCATGTTGAGTTCCAATTATGTTTGTTCTTCTTCTGACATGATGTTGAAATGTACCTTATGGGTACTTGTCTTCCTGTAAATTTTGGTCTGTGTTTGCCAGGTTTTCATATTTTAGGGGTTTGATGGAACTCCATATCACTTCATGCAAACATCTCTGTAACGATGGTTAAAATCACAGCCACTTGTAGCATCAAATTAAATGCATAAACACTTCCTGTAAACTACTGTCACTTCCGTGCATGAACATTTTCTTGGGCCCTTAACCAACACCCTAAACTCGCTGCAGCTTTAGACTCTCTCTTTATCACAGAGTCCTGCATACAGTACATACTACCCCATGTACAGTACAAAAAACCTCAATTTTTTGTGGGATCACTTGACCCTTATCATATTTTCTCATCAAGTAATCTTCATTTGGTTGGTTTAGGATTATCTTTTCCCTAATACGGTAAAGCTCATATTTGCTATCCACATTTGCTAAGTCTGAAAGGCTTTCAGGTTGCCAGTAGCTGATATCTACAGTCTGCATTGAAACTCTATTAAATTTCTTCTGAACTTCACTTAATCCATGGTGACCATAGTTCTGAATCTCAAGTTTTGTTATTTGACAGTGTACCTTATCGACTTATTTCCATTTAAGCCGAGCTTCTTCACATTTGTGCCTCTTGAATTCAACCATGCTTCTACTGGATGGCCTCATTTTTAATAGTTTATCTTGGTTTTTTGGGTTTGAAATAACTGCTCTTCAATCACTTCATTTGCTGGTCTTCAAATGGTATCATGTGCCATCAGTATCGATAGCTGTAGATTATTTCTCTAGCCAGTTTCATCTTATTTTTTATGGTTCAAATTCTTCTGTTTGATTTTTCAGGATTCGTGCTCAAGAAAACATGTGAAGTATAGCAAATAAAATTGGGTCTATTGTCTTATTTTTAATTTCTAAATTCTTATTAATTGTTGGCTTCAATAACAGGGGAGCTTTTAGATGCTGGGGTCAACCGCAGTCCAAGTGCTTATCTCAATAATCCTGCAGAAGAACGCAGTAAATACAAGTATGATGTTGATAAAGATATGACTGTTTTGAAGTTTGTAGATGATGAATGGGGTCCAGTAGGTAGCTTCAATTGGTTTGCAACCCATGGGACTTCTATGAGCCGTACAAACTCATTGATAAGTGGGGACAACAAAGGAGCTGCTGCACGTTTTATGGAAGACTGGTTTGATCAGGATAGTGGTGAAAGGACATTTTCTGATGAATCTAAGCCTAGTGGTATCCCTCGGAGAGTCTCAAACATTATTCCAATTGTTCGCAATGATCGTAAGACTTTAGTTACCTGCCCAAGTTATTACGGTATTACATAGATAGTACAGTTACGCTTGTTGAATTTTGTTTTTGTAGTAGTCATATCCACCTGTTTCCTTTTACTAGAAGTGTGATAAGGGGACTCTGATACCCGTGTTGTTAGCTTTTTTTACATTTTTTAATTACAAAAGAAGGTACTTATTTGCTATGTGGGAAGTGCAGTTGAAATTCATGGACCTATACTCTGTTTGTATCTGGCTTTTCCTCCATTTTTCTCGATGATTTAGGGCAGAGAACATTTTTGATTCTTAATGCTGCTTGCGGAACGTCGCCAAGTTGACTTCTTGTATTGTTTTACTGAGTTATATTATCTGTTCATCTGCAATCACCCAGAAAGAAATTTGTCTCTGATTTATGTTTAACTATTCTTGTGGTTATCTCGATGCAGATCATGAGTTGCGGGAACTTGCTGCTTCTTTCAAGTCTTCTTCAGGCAAACCGGCAACCAGATTTATGAGCCTTGCAAGACGTGTAAGAAGTAATCTAAGGCGAGATGATAGGCCTAGATTCATATCTGCATTTTGCCAAACCAATTGTGGGGATGTTAGCCCAAATGTGCTTGGGACCTTCTGCATAGACACAGGGTTGCCTTGTGACTTCAATCATAGTACCTGTGGAGGGAAGAATGAATTATGCTACGGCCGAGGTCCTGGGTATGCATGCTCTCACAATTTGTTACTTTCCAGAATAAATCGTAATATAAAATGGTTTTTACTTCAAAATATTGGATTGTACATAGTTTTTACTGGTTATAATCTTATCTCTTGCTTACATGGAAGGTACCCTGATGAATTTGAAAGTACACGAATCATTGGTGATAGACAATTCAAAATGGCAGTAGAACTTTTCAATAATGCATCAGAGCAATTGAAGGGGAAGGTTGATTATCGCCATACTTATGTAGACTTCTCCAAGCTTGAGGTGACAATTCCTAAACAGGGAGGGGGTACTGAGATTGTAAAAACCTGTCCTGCAGCGATGGGATTTGCATTTGCTGCTGGTACAACTGATGGACCTGGGGCTTTTGATTTTAAGCAAGGAGATGACGAGGTTCTGCAGCAGGATCTATATTTTATAATTAACTCTATACTCTTGTTTAGCATGTAGAGAAGTGTACTTATACTCTCTCTTTCTCTCCTCTCCTCTCTGTTTGTATGTGTTCCCAGGGGAATGCGTTTTGGAGACTGGTGCGTAACCTACTTAAAACACCAAAACAAGGACAGGTTGACTGTCAAAATCCAAAGCCCATTTTGCTTGATACTGGTGAAATGAAAGAGCCTTATGACTGGGCGGTGAGTTAACATCTTAGTGCAATTCTTTTAACTTTTAATGCAATTGGATTTGCTTACTTTCAGATGCTTCTAATAGGAAGCAATTTAAACTCCATGGAGACATTTTGTAGTTCTAGTTCCTTCAAACTGAACGCTTAATTCTTGGTGTTGCCTGGAATCTGGAAGTAAATAGTCAATTGCTTTTACCGGGATATAATTTACTAATACGAGTATCCCCAAGTCTGATATGTTGATAGTTAAAAGTCGTATTAAATAGAAGTTTCTGAATATGTGTTCTGAGGAATTGGAATGTTTAAGAAATATTAATGATAATTGAAGACAATAATATTCTGCTATAAATAAGGAAAATTTTTAAGCTAAAGATTTCTTTTGGACATTCTGGATATACGTAGATTGAGTGTAATTCAACATAATTGGGCTAGGTTTTTATGCATCAAACTGTGAGATCTAAAGTGCATGGCAGCGTGAGTGTTAGACATGCTATCAGATTTAAACCTTTATGCTTAATCTCAGATGACTTTCCCTTCCGAACTAAGTTCACCGAGTTCGTTGATTGAAAATTTATATGGTCGAGGAGAATATTATAAATGGGGAAATAAGAGAGTATCTTCAGATTACTCGCTTCTCCTCTTCTCGTGGTAGCGAACTATGATGTTGTATTCATGCCAGATTGTTGTCATTATGTTGATTGTGCTTCCGCTAACCATAAGTGGCGTTGCTCAACTAGGAAGTTGAAGCTCAACGTTTCTTGTTATGAGTGCGTGACTGCGTCTTCATTTAATCTTTCTCTGGGAAGTCATTCGTTATATGTTATTATCAACTGAAAATGTTGTACTGCTATTATTACTTACTGGGGCACATTATGTACTGAGAATACTGATAATTTTTTTGTTTTCCTTGATTTTTTTTGCAGCCCTCAATACTTCCAGTCCAGATTCTGAGGATAGGACAGCTGGTCATTCTCAGTGTACCTGGAGGTAGTGGCTTCTTTTCCATTCCTTTAATCGTGTAGAGGTTTATATTTTTTATTTTGCACCATATTGTGCTCTTATGATTGAAATGAATCAATTGCAACTTTCTCTTGTATGGTTATTTCGATGTTGGTGTTTATATTTTCAGCTGGTTGCAGAGATGGAAATAAGTCTTCATTACTGGACAAGAAACTAGCGTATAAACTTTGATGTGCTTCTCATAATTTATTAATAAAAAATAGAACTGATAAAACCAAAGAAATTTTGATTCAAAAAAATTTCCGAACCCTACATTCCACTGTCTCATAATCAAATCTGAAGCAACACAAAGAATAAATAGATTTGACCTGGCATGAAATTTTCTATAGGCTTTCTTAGTCCCACGTCAACAAGACTTTCCCAAGACTGGAAAGTTACTAAGAAGGAGCCTTCAATAAATATGCATCCATGAGCTTGTTTGTGGTTATACTTTGATACATGAGTAAGTGTTCAAGAATATTGCTTTCATTTCATAAGAGTAACGAAATCTTAATTTAGTAGAACATGTTATAAGATGGAGAGGTAGAACAAAATAACATGACCCTGTGGTTGTAAAAGATCTCGTTGCATCAGATATTTCTGCACATGTTGTGACTCAGAGTGGAATGGTGAAAAGGGATTTATTTAGCCAGCAGAAATTTATTGGGAATAATGCTTAGGTATGTTGCTGTTCATGAACATTAATTTAACTGGCCTTTGTGTAACAGAATTCACTACAATGGCTGGAAGACGGCTACGAGATGCTATGAGAACAGTGCTCACAGGTGGAGGTAGCAAAGAATTTGATGAAAATGTTCATGTAGTGATTGCTGGGTTGACAAATACGTACTCACAATATATAACGACCTTTGAGGAGTACCAGATACAGAGATATGAGGTTAGTTGCTGAATCATGGTAAATGATTCAATAAACTGTGGGCACTACTAGTGTTTTGCAGAATGATAAAGACAACATTTTCAAACACTATATGAAGACCTTGTTGAAATGTACAGATTTGTTGCATACCTATAACTATAAGCTATGTAACGAAGTTTTTGAAAATTCACACACAGATAGATGACAAGTACACAGATAGTTAATCCATTGGTGAAAAAGAGTTGTGCACTAGTATACCTCTGTTGATTTCCCCCCTCAAAAAACTTGGAACTATTCCACCGTGTTATGTTGTCTCATTCCAAGTTCATTAATTAACTATACTCTTAATGGGTAAGCAGACTGTACTGTGGGTAGATCATAAACATAATTTTTCCAGCCATTTTGAACATGTAAATGTCGTATGTTTCAGATTAATTCGAAGACATTTTCCATAGCTACTCTTAATTGGGTAAGCAGACTGTACTGTGGGTATATCAAAAACATAATTTTTCCAGCCATTTTGAACATGTAAATGTCGTCTGTTTCAGATTAATTCGAAGACATTTTTCATAGCTATTAGCTTATTACAGTATTGTAAATCATGAAATAAAAATATACCTGTTGCCATCTCCATTTAGAGAGTTATTTGTAGATGCACAATGACACCTGTTTTCTGGTCTCTTAAAACCAAATAACACGGGTAATGGGAAATGTGGGATAACTTCTGCCAAGTATAACATTTACAGTTCGTTAAAAAAAATTCTTGTTCTTTGGATGCTAAATGCATATCTTCGTTTCCTTCCTAGGGTGCCTCGACACTATATGGCCCGCATACCCTCTCTGCCTACATTCAGGAGTTCGAGAAGCTTGCAGCAGCCCTTATCAGTGGACAGTCTGTGCAATCTGGTTCACAACCCCCAGATCTTCTAGGCAAGCAAATAAGCTTGCTAACACCAGTCGTGATGGATGCAACTCCTTGGGGTGTAAAGTTTGGTGATGTCAGCAAAGACGTACCCAAGAACTCCACCTTTACGAGAGGTGAAAACGTAACGGTCATTTTCTGGTCAGCATGCCCCAGAAATGACCTGATGACCGAAGGTACATTTGCACTGGTTGAGATTCTCCAAGGGAAGGATAATTGGGTTCCAGCTTATGATGATGATGATTTTTGCCTCCGCTTTATATGGTCACGACCTTCTAAACTAAGTACTCGAAGCCATGCAACCATAGAATGGATAATACCAGAAAATGCTGCTTCAGGTGTATACAGAATAAGGCATTTTGGTGCGGCTAAGCGTCTTTTGGGGTCAATTAAGCATTTCACAGGCTCTTCTAGTGCTTTTGTTGTAGCATGAGACTAATATATTTATCCACGACCCTATGATATCGCATTACGGATTAACATATATATGTACTAGTAGTTTAATACTATTTCTCTTTTGGCATTCTTCTATTTCGTTACTTCATATAAATTTGTTGCTTTACTCCAATGTTCACAAAGGAGTGGAATCTCAATGATATGTATTGCATTTCTGTAATGAACTGTTTAGAACAATTTACTAGGATAATGAACTGTTTAGCAAGAGAAAAATGATATTCAGTCGAGTTGCAGAGTTGTAAGCAATAATAACCACAGTAATTGGTATCGAAGTTTAATACTCGAAAAACAAAATAAAATTAAAAAGAAAAAGGAACATAAATAAGGCTTCTAACTAATAAGAGATCAAAGATGCTTAGATGCATAACAATAAGCTCGAGGCTAGTTCTCTTCACCATCCTCCTCTATCTTAGGTGCCAAGTAGAACCTGAGATGACCCATCTCTGCAATCTTGTATTCTACTACTACTGGAAGCTCTGAAGACAAACTGATAGTAACTGTATTTGATAATGGAGTTCCCTTGGTGAAGGAATTAAAGTACCTCAATGCAAAAGTCAAGGAAACTGGCTCATTCATCTCTACAATTGTTGCATCCTCCGGCTACATATGGAAAATAAAAAATCAAACGCCTATTACCATTTTTTAAAGATGGAAAAACAGTATTTATTTTCCATTTTCTAGACTACTCGGAAAGAGGGAATGACAGCAATTTTGCACTAACATCACAAAAACATACCTTGTCAACAGTTGTATTTTGCCTGCACACAACATTTGCTGTTCCAATATCACCGCTTGTAGAGAATTTTACGCCTTCTTTTGTGACTGAGATCACAACTGCAATCACCAATCAGACCAAAAGTTCAATTCAAAGATTAGTTGCAACTTATATTGCATAAAATTCTTCAAATAACATTCGATCATATCAACAAATATTAATAAGAGGATTACCCGTGTCACCAATGCTGCTGAGATCTTTACAAATTCTTGCAAACTCGGTGGAAGGCATCCTGACTATAGCATGGTACTCGGCTTCAGGGATCCCAAGATGCTCACTATCAACATCCATGAGCTTCATCTCAAAATCTGAAATCTTATCTTGAGCTGTGATCAAGTGGAAAAACCCATAAAACAAGTCAATGTAAACATCAACAAGGACAAAATCAAAATGAAGAATATTAGGGTGCATGTAGCAACATTGAGCTTCCCACTAATTACACAGTCTGAGACCCCAAGAAGAAATCAAAGCTTTCATCAATATTTACACAAACATTGCATAATATATAAAAGAAAAATTCAAAGCCAGGTTACTTTTCCAAAAAATGCACAGCAATGAGAAAGTTGGAAACTCGATATTCTTATGGTTTAATTGAAACAAAAGACTTAAATTCATTTTAGCAAACTGTACCCAGATGTTCCTAATTTTATCTTATCAAAAATATAATCAGCAAGAAAAAGGTAATTTTGATGCTTCTTATTTTCTCAAGCTCTTCCTTTCCTTTCACCAATTTACAGCTGCGTTGTCATCTCACAAAGTTCAATAATATTGCGACAAATCCAACTTTATTAGAACTCACAACTTCACCAAAAAACTACCAAACTAGTTTCTTTCTATGTATCCACAAAATCTCCAATACCAAGACTTACGCTAAAGAAAGCCTCTTTAGGGGAAAAAAACCCATCAAAAATGCAAACCCAGACAATAAACTGAATACGTAATGTGCGAATTTTAAGCAAAATGACAATGGGAAAACATAACATATGTACCTAATTATCTTTACACGAACGAAATAATATTTTCACCATTCGCATTAGTGAATAAAATTAAATCTTCAGCAACAGAAAATCTTCTCAAAACAGAACATTAGGCACTAAAAAGTAACATCACGATAAACAAAAATCAAGTAAAATTAATCACATACTGGGGCTTTCAAACATAAAGGTGACAGTGTCACTGCCGTCATCAGCCTTGAGAGTGATAATGTCATCATTGCCAGCACACTTGAGCATTTTAGCCATGTTGTTGAGGTTCATTCCCATGGAGATGTTCCGGTCACACCGATAATGCTCAAATCCCTCAGATCTGAGAAGTAAAGACACCAGCGCCACATGGCTGCTATCCATTGCTTGGAGTGAGAATCCCGTTGCCGAGCAATCGAAATTGGCATCGGTCACTAGGTCCTTTATGGCCTCCAGAACCTTCTTCAACAGGCTACCCTGCACCAGCCTGAGTTCCAGCATTTTCGGTGCGGAATTTTTAGTGGAAAATTAGGGCAAGGGGACTGGTTTGAAAATTGGGGAGAGAGAGATAAAGTAGGAGCACAAATTTTGGAGAGGAAAAATAGGGCTTAGGTTTTATAATATACCTATGATTAGGGCTCAGTATTGGCGGGGATGAAAATATCTTAAAATTCCCGCCATTTTTTTTGGGAATATTGTATAATTGCATCGTAATTTTATTGTATTTAAATTCTTGTAATAAAGTTTCTTGTACATTAATTGGTTGAGATAGAGTTTGACACTTCATGTATTTTCAAATGCAAATGGACGGAAAAGTGTATTTTATTTTAAAACTGTCCACTCATGTCACAACACGTGGCACAATGTCAAACTTGATGTCAAATGAAGTATACATGTAGCATGATTGAAATTCTCATTCTTTGCTAATGGTAGCGTTTATCTCTAAGGGTCCGTTTGGTTGTAAGGATGAAATTTGGTTAGAAAGAAAATGAATTTTAGGGAATTAAATTGTCTAGAATTCATTTTATTGAAAATTGCCAATTAATTATGTTTGATTTGTATAATTTTTCACCTGAAAAATGTTGAAATTTTGGATCTTTTGGTGTTCGTTTGGCTTTCTTTCCATGGAAATTGTTCATTAAAGAAAAAAAAATTATGACTGGAGGATAAAATTTGTTTCCATTGCCAAAAATTATAAATAAATAAGATGCCTAGAAAATGAATTCCACCAAAACCAAGAATTGGGCACGTGTGGGTCTGTGGGTAGAAAATTAATTGCTAAGAAATGAATTCCAATCAAACATGCCATTTGGGTGGAAATGGAATTTCTTTTCCATTTTCTATGGAATTTTTGTTGAATCAAACATGGCCTAATTTTTTTTGACGCATTTTGTTTATGATAATGGTCTTTATTCAAAATTTTTGTTAACCACCAAATAAAAAGACTTAATTGTCCATTACAAAATTTGACAAAGTGATTTTTACCATCATCTATTAAAATTTAAATCATATTCAAATAAATAAATAACTAAATGAGGACAATAAATGGGATAATTTAGCCCCTGTTTAACTGCCTTTTTTTTTTGTATGAAATGAATTTTTGAATACTAAATTTTTTAAGAATTTATGATTAAAAAATAAGAAAAAACTTTGGATTTACGTGAAGAAAATTTTACCATGAAAATGTATAATTTAAAACAAGTATGAGAAAAAAATGTTTCGAAAGAATAATTGTCAAAGAGGGGCTTAATCACTAATTCATTCGTGCCGCTATCATCCTTAGGTCAACACCATTCTTCTTCAAGCCAAGATGTTGGTCCAACCACGCTAGATTACTTGCTTTTTTCGATTCAAGAAGGGTGTAGCGATTGCGAGTTAACAAGTTGTGCAAAGTTTTTTTGTGTAAACTCAATCAAGCCAAGTTTAAATGATGGATCCATTCCCAAAGCTTAAATTCGGGACTCACAGGAAAACCGACAACCATCGATGCATAGACATTCCCTCCATCAATGTTACTACCAATCCTCGACACACTCTCCTTGGTCGGAGATATCATCGGGGTGGTTGCCGGTGAGCGGATGGAGTAGACAAGATGCAGTGACTTGTTGGATCGGAGCGGAGAAATTTGATACCTCGGAAGCCATTCTCTTGATGCAGACTCCGTTTCTGTAACAGTTGTATTTAAGGCCCCGTTCGGGAGGGATTAAAAGCCAATTAAAATTGAAAATATGGCCGTTATTGGGTCCCACTCCTCTAATAAAAGTCAACAATAACGACTATATTTTCAATTTTAATCCAATTTTAATCCCTCCCATACAAGGCGTAAATGAATGATTTTTGGCAGCCAGCAAGTGTGATTCAGTACATGGCAGAAAATGAGTGCTGACTACTTTCTTGGAAAATTCAGTGCAAGTATATGTACTTCAGTTTTTTTCTAGTTGCGACAAAATCTTCATTTCTTCTAAATTTTTCATCATACCTAAGGACTAAAGATAAATGGTTTAGGACTCTGGAAATGGAGGAATTCAAGCTCGAGTTTCTAATCACATGTAAATGATAGAAA